AGCAGCTCTCAGAGCAATCACAGGAACACCGTGTGCTGCACTTTCCCCTCTCGTTTACTTACACCCCGTATGCTCCTCCCTGCAGCTAGAGGTACAGCTGGTGCAGAAGGAGAAGAAGTTGCTGGAGATAGATTTTCTCTGCGAGCACATTTCCCAGCTGACGGACAGAATCCGTGCCACAGCAGAGAAGGGGAAGCAGGACACCCTGCTGTTAGCCAAAAGGGTAAGAAGGGCATTGCACACTCTGCTTGCCAGCCTATACGAAATGAAATAATATCTGGGCAAGAGGTAAGATGACTCACTTGCAAATTACGAAAGTGGCTGGAAATATTGATAGGCAAATCATCTGTTAGTCTTCAGAAATTACAGACATTTAATAGTAATGGTAATAGAAACACACCGAAAGCATTAGGTGAGTGTACTTTCTTTTTTGAAAGAAAGTTGCACTGTAAATAGTACCTTTCACCAAAATATAGGATTATTCTTTCTCAGGTAGATGCTTAGAAACTTGGTAGAATCCTCCTTTTGCACATGTACTTAACAGCCTTTCCAGAACAAACACATCAAAGGCTAAAAAGAAGTAAGGAAAAGCCAGGTAAATTCTACTCCAACATACAAAAAGATAAACTTGATATCTGGCTCAAACTTTGTTATTTAGGTAGGGAGAACACACAGAAAAGAAATATCATTTTCAATAGAGTTACTTCTATATAAATATAACTATTTTCCTTTTAACTGCCAGTAATATTGTTTGGGGAAGAATAAAAATCCTCTCACTCCCACCTCCTTAATGAAAAAACTCCAAATAGAGCAGAGCTGAGTGAAAAACAAAAAAAAAAGCTGAGTAATTAATGTAAAACAAGGCCAGGGTTGGTGTTTTTTTTTCCTTAGGTGTTAGGTTTCGCACTCAGAAAGGTTTAAAACAAAACACATCTTTATTGTAAACGTTTAATTTTCCACAGCCAGAGAAGTAACATGGCTGTTATTTGGGTTTGTGAAATCGTGGCCATGGGCTAATAAACTACAGTAAAAATGGCAGCACGCCAAAAAGTTACATTCGCAAGTGCTCTGACTCTCCCAGTTCCCTATTAGTCACTTAAAAAACAGAAGATTGAAGGTTTTTTGGTTGGTTTTTTTTTTTGTTTGTTTAAATCATCTCCAGTCAGATTCAAGGATTCCCGTCCCATTCCTTTTTCTGTTCGTCCCCCTGCCAAGGATAACTTCACAACTCACAGCCTCGCTGCGTCCACATTATCACTTAAGCATCTTGTAAGGATCAGGCTTATTACAGAGGTCATTGTGCATCATCTGAATGAGAACTGGGGTACCAGGCCTTTGAGGGCAATGGGAGTTTTGCTGTTCAGCGGAAAAGGGCAGGAGGTCATTACAAACTTGTGTTTCTGTATCTTGTATTGGATTCATTGTGACTTCTTACGCTGACAGTTTCTGTGGTTCCAGGTGGACACAGAAACACATGTCCCACCCCGTTTCATTACATCATTTTCAAGTATGGAACTATTTTTTAAAACCCTGTCAAGTGGGACTTGTTTTCATGCGCCTCATGCTTACCTAACTGTCGTGCCCAGTAAGTGCCTGAAGGGAAGCCCTAACTAAAATGCAATTGTTACTTATTCCAGACAAACAAACTGCAGAATAAGATAAAGGACAGAACGCAGAAGATGATGGCTCTTGCTGCAGAGTTATCCATGAAGCAAGCACTTGCCATTAAACTCCAGCAGGAAATGAGAGACAAAGCAGAGTTTTTGAGCAGTGTTTCATCAAGGATAGATCAAGGCCTTCCCCCTCCTAAAGAAACAGAAAATGAATGGTTGAAGATATTACGCAACGAGAGGATGCAAAAAGCAGCAGCTGAAGCCAGAGCTAAAGTAAGTTTTTGCCAGACATTGCAATTAGATCTTCAGCCCCATCTTTTCACTGCTCTAGCTTGTCTTTCTGAAAGAGCCGTGCTAGCTCACTGTGTAGCTGTTCACTGCCAAACACAGAGCTCCAGGAGTCAGCGGAGGCGATGGTCTAGACAGAGACAGCTCCTGAAGCGGTACATAGTGGGTTTGCGGAGTTTCTAACTGCAGTCTGGCCACATCTCTTGGAACTGGGCATTGAATCTTAAGGAGAGAATACACTAACAGGAAGACTTAGCTTCATTAAAGTAATTTGTGTGACCATGTTTGGGGCTGACAGGTGAGGGAGCCCTCAGTGAGGTACTGCTTTCCATTTGATTTCAAAGGAAAGCTACAAAAGGTGAGTTGCAGGGTTGAGGAAAAATAACTTCAGTGTCTTCCACTTACCAGAAGCAGTGAACATCCCATCAGAAACAGCAAGAAGTCAGATCACTGGGCCAGACACTGAGGGCAAGTGGGGCAGCACAGCAAAGAGGGCTTCAAGTTCTCCCCTCCGGGATACTCTGCCTCCTTAGCAGAGACCAGCAGAGCTCCCAGAGAGCACACAGCAGCGTACAAGTGAGATGTGCGTCCGGAGGGAACTCCTGCTGACGGAAGTCAAGCTCTGCTATAGGCATCCTTTAGCTGATCACTCCAAGGGAATCTGAAAGGCGCACAAAGCTGGGACAGGAACACACTGTGCATACGCTTAAAGATCCTGAAGTCACGCAGAACTGCTGCGCTGAAACTGGTTCAGAAAAGAAACTCCTGTCATTAACCCTTCTCCTCGTGCTGTGACTCAGTTTTCTTTCAGCTCACTGCAGTAACTGTGTTCAGGAACAGCTGCTGTCAGTGTAAATACAGCTGGGTTTTGAAGCATCAGAACTATTATCTTCTTCCCGAGACATTCTGTGCACACTTATTACAACTTTTAAGAGTTCATCTAATCCATTTTCTTCACAAATAACAAAAGCATTACAAGCTCAAACTGTATACTGTTTAAAAGGACAAACTCACATCCACATGGTCAATAACTCAAAAAATATCCCTCTGGGTTTCCTGGTTTGCAGAGGACTAGTCTACCGGTGTTTCCTTCGTTAGGCATTCTGTACATTGGCTCAGGAGAGTATCAGAGTTTTAAGGCATGTAACCGCTATGTGATCAGAATGCGTTTCTTTCACAGCGTGCTGCAGAAGAGGAACAAGCTGCAGCGCCCGGCTGCGTCCACACGACAGCTGTGCAGCGCCCAACCACCTACATCCCCAACGATGAATACAGCCTCTCAGTGCCACGGCCCTACAGCATGCTGGCTCCTTTCAAACCAAGTGCACCTGGTTCAAATATGAGACATTTCAGAAAACCTATTGTAAAACCAATTAAAATCTGAACATGCAGCACCTAAAGCAGGAGAGGCCGGCATCAGTTGCTGAATCTCAAGGGTCAACAGCATTTACACTGCACTGAAGACATCCCTTAGTGTTTAGCCAAATTCCATACTGAAAAAAATGTCGTTGTTAATGCCAGCAGCATAGCTACATAGACAGTGATTCAAGTTCCCTTCCCCTGGCTTGGAGGAGCCTGGTATCCCAAATGCAGTGCAGTTTTTTTAAATGTTAAGAAAAATGAGTGATTGTCATACTATGCTTTTTCTTTTTCCAGGTGAAGTTTTATTGCATCTGATTATATTTTACATGTTTTATTAAAAAAAAGGCTCAAAAATCTTCTCTTGTTGTTAATATAATACAAAGTCCCCACTGCTTTTACAAATACACCAACATAGCTTTCTGCAGTCTGGGATCAGAGTTTATGCTTGCCAGACAAATTTTAATTATATTGAGAAAAATATTCCTTCCCTCTATGCCATTACTGAAAAAGCTAAAACTCTTGCTCCACTGATGGAATGACAAGGGAATGACCATGAACTTGCTGAGTCGCTCCTGAGAACTGAATCTTTTTTATTTCACTGGTAGGGAAGAGGAAGCATCAGTGGAAACTACTCAGAAACAGTATCAGAGGTTGCTACTGAAAACCTTTAAAATCCTTCAAATTGTCAACAACTTTCACTAGTTTAATAGTCTGAAACTTCAATAGAGTTGTTTTTAAATACAACAAAGACTGCAGAAATCCTACATGTCAGAATTTAAAATTTTCTCTGCATAGTGAACTGCTATTATTATTTTAATGTCACAGTTCAGAACTTAAAAAAAGCCAAATAACGCTGGTTCACTTATGTACAAATAAAAGTTGAAAATGAAGGAAAAACAATTTCCATAATTTCCTTCTGAAGCTGAGGTTTGAAGTGTAACACTAGAAGTTGTAAGGAAAGAATTAAGTAAAATTCTGTCCAAGCCACTGTTAAGATAAATTTCCAAAGAACTTTTTTCTTATCCTGTATTGCTTACAATACATGTCTTAAGAAAAAAGAAAAATACAAAACAACAAAAAACACAGCACAACTCTGTCACATGTACTTTAAGGAGATTATATTTTGTGCTATTTACAAAAGTGAATATATTAGAATCCAACTCCAAAGGTAGAAGTACCGTAAGATAACACATGACCACCATGGGGAATGAATACATCATTGCTGACACATTATCTACAAAAACTGATTCATCACTTGTTATTCTTACCTGCTTTACATAATCACATCAAGAAATTCTTTTATTAGTCTGAGTAAACAGTTACTGGTTTCTTGTTACTGTCCAATACAACTGGACTACCTTTTTCAGGATTGTGTGTCTTGTGAAAATAACTGACATGAATATGCACTTTCACAGCATGTTTTGATACCCACTGTAGTTACACTTATTTGACCACTTCAAAATGACACCATAGATGAGTTTCAAACCTGGGTTTGTGTCAGATGCGTTTCTCTAGGAATTATCTAGAAGTCAGTAATTTCAGCTTTAATACGTAGACCAAACACTATTTTGAGTAGCTTATGTCAGTAACGGTGGCTACTCAAAACTGCAGATTTTTTGGGAAACAACATGACATTTAAGGTTTTTTTTTAAAAAAAAAAAGTTGGTTGCACACTTCTGTGTGATTACTTTCATATGAGCACCACAGTTAGACGGCCTTCTTCAACAGCATGTGATTTCAGGAATATTTGAGGCCCAAAAGCGTCATAGTATGTTTGAGTGCTGTTTCCTCTACAAACCTTACATTAACATGGTCTTGTTTTTCACATGGACGCACACCTAGAAAAACATTGTGAGAAAGTCAGTATTTACAAAATCATAGGTGTTCCTGTGCACTTAGTCCTGCAGCCTATTAAACATCTTCATCTACAATACCAAAAGATAAGGTAATAGATGGAACCATGTTTTCATTTACACAAAATACCTACAGCTTTCACTAGAGTCACTTGGATGCTCACCCATGGCAAAAACTTTCCTGTTGGTGGGACGTAAGTACATGATATCCCATACGGAGCAAAGCCAGACCATCTCTGGAGGCTGCTAGGGATTTCCATACTAATTCTACACTGGAGATCCGAAACAAGATGTAAGCACAGAGGGTGTGTCAGTGCTAGCACATAAAATGGACCAGGGCACATCCTCCTATACTTCTGGATGGTTTAACTATTTTTCTTCCCCGAATGGGAGGGTATCTGTACCTGGACAATCCTGGTTCAGCCTTCAGGTCCTTATCTTGACTTTATTTTGCTTGCTAGTACAGGCATAGCCAGTAACGCTAACTAGTACCACACTTCCTTTAACGCACCTTACTTTTTCAGTAGAACTCAAAATCTTCAGGTGCTTAGGTTCACTGTATGAAGCAAATGCCCTAACCAATTTGAAATGTATTTCACGAAAAGGATCAGCTTTGAGATGAAAAACGCCTGTTACTTCAGAGCACCTCCTAATCAAGTGATGTGGGTACACTTTTCTGAGGTGGAAGATCTGATTTCGGTTGCCTCAGCCACCGTACTGTATAAATAAGGAACAAACCCTTCTCCCCATTTGAACACAGAGTAACAGCTACCACTATGCCATAGGTGAGCCACATTTCACTACACGTGTTCTGAAAAATGCAAGTTTGAGAACTGGATTCAACACACGGAGGATGTGGATGAAAGGATAGGCAGTGAAGAAGCCCCCTGACAATTCCCATCAGCAGAAAGATGACCAAACCTACATGTTCAGACATCACTGAAATTTTAGAACTCAGTTATGTCAACACAGGCAGGATATGGCCGAATGTGTGCATCAAAGGGTAACAGTTACTGGTCTTCCGAAGTACAGAATTAACATTACCTTGATTCTCTATCTCTGCCAACACATTAGTCAGGTAGTTAAGTGGCAAAAACTCTACAGGGACTGAGAGTCTCTCAGGGAGAGGCCTGCTACACTGCAAGGGAGAATATTTCAGGTTAGTTCACACAGTTGCCCAGTACCAGGTTTCAGTCTTATCTGTAGCATGTTATAGTCTGCAGAAAGGTCAGGAATCTCAACAATGTCAAAGCAAAAGATTAAAAAAAATGGTCTATGTGCTCTTACCTGCCTGTTCCCCAGCTTCTCGAGCAAAAGTTTCACATATTTCCGTGCAATGAAATTCGCATTTATCGGATGATTCCAAAACTGGCGGACCTTTTGACCAAGAGCCTAGTAAGCAAAAAACAAAACCCAAAAACCTGAGAACATAAACACCCAACAGCAGAAACTTAGGAGAAGCAAAAAGAAGAAAAAACCCAAAACAAAGTCCAGGCTTTAATACAGATGTTTTGCTGATGACAGAAGCTAAGATGTCATCATTTTTAGCCATGGAACCTACCTTTCATAGCAGTAACTAAGAAATTACAATATGCTCCCAAAACATGGGAAACCCTCAAAACCCTGCTACTCAGTACCCACTGAGCTACTCACTAAGTTTCTATCAATCAGCCTGCCCCATTACCTTTGTCCTACTTTGCGTGCATACTTAAAATATTAACTGAGGCTTAAAATGACCGTTTATCCTTTACTGTGACTCTTTGGTTTAGATCCATTCTTCTCTCAAAGAATAACACAGATGTCCCATTCCTCAATGCTCCATTCAGAACAGGGCTTCTCTCAGGCTCAGTCTAAGGAATCTTACAAAAGCAGAATGCCAAAAAGGAGAGGTACTGCGAACACAATTTGCATTCCATTATTTAGGACATCATCCCGGGAACTGATAACCTTGATTCACATTCCCAAAGGCAAAACAGATTCAAAGCCAGATGTCCCAAAGCTTCCAATCCTAACCAATAAACTAATATGAACACACTGTGAAATTCGCTCCACCTTCTGCTATTTTCCCTATCTAAATCTTCCCCCACCTGACCCCTTTCAGTTGTACTGCAATACAGACTACTGAAAGAGTTCATTTAGGAAATGCTGTACAGTTTCAATGGTGCTTAAATACTTGCATCTCATGGAACTGAAGTCATCTACTGAATGTAACCTGCTCAAAATAGCCTGAGTCACCCCAAAAGTGCCCTTTTTGGCAAACAAAGTATTCTCCGCATTTTTTCCCAAAGCTGTAAATAGATACAATAAAGCACTGAGTCTATTGTGCATAACCAGCAGTACAAGTCCCCTGCAGCACCCACAGCTCAGCCCTTCGCGTCAAAGCACGGTTGGGATGGGGTTCCCCACCCACCAGCCCTGGGGCTGACAGCTCAGAGAGGCCCCGCGCTGACCCCAGCTCACCAACCCATGCCCAAAACAAGATACAGAGGACAAAGAAAGTCCTGTGGGGTTCTCCTTCCCCACCCCTTCTCAAAACTGCTGCTAAATAAAGAAGCCCTTGTTAGAGGAAAACCAAAGCCGCACTTCTGGCCATTTGAACTATACGTAACAGCCCATAACGAGCAAACAATAGGCAACTTATGTTGAGAAAAGCCTACTCTACAGCAAGGCGCTCCCCGAGGGGGGATCCCTGGTTTTCCTCTGCTCACTGAGATGTTGTGCTTCCTCTGCAGCACTGCGGTGTGCACTCAGAACAAAAGGGGAAAAGGAGAAGTCAATCTCCTGCTCTGTTGGAATTTGCCATGGAGCATCAGTAATTAGTGCCAGCATGTGGCTAAAGGAATCACCTTCCCAATGGGCGAGGCTGGGAGATCTTGTAACTCAAATCCCGCCAGGCAGCTGTGGTATCATCTGATTTTACAGCTTTCACTGTGTTTGATAAAATGTATAAAAGCAAATGCAGAGATCACAAGTGAGAAAGGCATTTTTGGACACTAAAAACCACACACAAACACCCTATAAATCCTCTTTAAACACCATTAAACCCTTATTGCTTTACGCAGATGAGTACTCAGCAGAAAAGCGTCAGTCTTGTCTATTTGATTCCCGTAGGGTACTGGAGACACTGTAAAACACTACAGATAAATCCACAGTTTAAGTTATCAGGGTGCCCTAGGGGTCATGAGCAGCAGATGGAGAAACTGTGGAGGTTCAGGTTATATCTGTGCCCTATTTGAATCACAGCTAAGTCTTCCACTGGCTTGAGCCTATACAGAGGGGGAAATTCCCTACCGATTCCAAAATCCAAGAAATAACATTCAAAGTCATTAGTTACCTCAGGAAGCCTTGTGACAATACTGAACTTCAGCTTTTCATTCTTCTCAGTGTCATCCAGATCTACAAGAGAAAGGAGAAGGGAAGAAAGAAAAAGGAAAAAAACCAACAAAAAACCCCACACAAAACCAAAAAACCAAACAGCCCAGTAACCACATAACTAAAACTTTCAACTTTCACTGAAGACATTCTGAAAAAATAGCAACTCTGTAATGAATTTTTAATTTTAAATAAGGGCTATTAGGAGTGTTATTTATGTTTATATTTGTACATAATTCCACCATTGTATGTAACAATTTATACAGTAATTAAAAAGTGTTTTGACTAAGCAGAACTCCCCATACTTATAACGTTTCATTTATCAAGACCAGACACAGATTAATACAACGTATTGTGTTGTCCCTTTTCTTGAACACCGGAAAAATAGCATGTTACAAGGGAACATGGTTACAGTGATGAAATGCATTACTGTTAGAGTGTCTTATCATGGTGCTGCTGCATCCCAGGAAACTTATGCTACAGTTCTCTCTTCCTCCCTTCTCATCTAGAAAAGGCAATTAACATGGGTGCGATGCCAACTGTGCCTGCAACTGCCAATTTGTCCCACTTCCCATTCCATTTTGAAGCTTTAGGCCCAAGTCATTCCCACCGTACGCCTGCTAGTTTGCTCCTAATCCTCCTTTGTGGAAATGAGCTACGTAGCTCCTGCTGAGAAGAAAGCCACATATAAAACATGATCTGCTCTTGATGACTACACAGGTTCATCTAGAACTTATTTCAACACCAGTTTTTGGTTAACATCATGCTACAGTTAGAAGACATCCACAAGCTCAATATTTAAGAAAAATATTGGATGCTGGGTCAGGTAGGCTTTTGTTTGCTTATTTTGAATTTTTACTTCCTAGCACAGAGTTTCTAGACGTTTGCCAATCCCAGCACTAGGATTGTCTTAGAATCATAGAATCATTTAGGCTGGAAAAGACCTTTAAGATCAGAGTCCAACCGTTAAAACTGCCAAGTACGCCACTAAACCATGTCCCTAAGCACCACACCTACACAGCTTTTAAACACCTCCAGGGATGGTGACTCAACCACTTCCCTGGGAAGCCTCTTCCAGTGCTTAAGAACCCTTTCAGTGAAATTCTTCCTAATATCCAATCCAAACCTGCCCTAGCGCAACTTGAGGCCATTCCCTCTTATCCTATCGCTTGTCACCTGGCAGAAGAGGCCAACCCCCACCTCGCTACAACCTCCTTTCAGGGAGTTGTAGGGAGCGATCAGGTCTCCCCTCAGCCTCCTCTTCTCCAGACTAAACAACCCCAGCTCCCTCAGCCGCTCCCCATCAGACTTGTGCTCCAGACCCTTCACCACCTTCGTTGCCCTTCTCTGGACATGCTCCAGCACCTCAAGGTCTTTCGTGTAGTGAGGGGCCCAAAACTGAACACAATACTCGAGGTGCGGCCTCACCAGTGCCGAGTACAGGGGGATGATCACTGCCCTAATCCTGCTGGCCACACTATTTCTGATACAAGCCAGGATGCTGTTGGCCGCCTTGGCCACCGGGGCACACTGCTGGCTCATATTCAGCTGGCTGTCGACCAACACCCCCAGGTCCTTTCTCGCCAGGCAGACCTGCCCTTCATAAACCCATACTGACTGGGCCTGATCACCTGGTTATCCTGTATGTGCCACGTGATGGCACTCAAGATGATCTGGTCCACAACCTTCCCCAGCACCGAGGCCAGACTGACAGGCCTGTTCCTCTTATTCCAAACATAATTAAAGTAAAAGCTGAGGACTGGATAGCAGACTAACTTCCTTACACATAGGTGCGCACTTTCATAGAGTCACAGAAATCCCTCAACAAATTCCATGATGATCTTTAGTGTTCACTTTTCTAAGAAATCCCAAGTGGAAAAACTATGAACTCAACTTCTCCCCAAACAGGTATGTGTCTACTACGGTAAGGCTAAACCATATAGCCTGAGCTCTAATTTTCCTCTTTCAGCTGGGCAACACCATCACCTACAGCCCTCATCAAAACAACACTCTGAAAGAACAGCTGAGTCTCCTGGGAGGTTAATCCTGTGTCTGAGTTTGAATGGCTGAAAGGACATCACTCCCACTTAGCTGGCTGGTAACAAACAAAACTCACTGTACCTTTCAGCAGCTTCCTGACACATGTTTCTGTCAAATGCAAGACTCCATTATCAATATAGTGCAGGAGGGTGTGCAGAGGGAGACATCGAACACCAAGCCCCAAGTGCAGAGTATGAAAACCTACGAAAGAGACAAACTTGTTTGGTACAACTTTTTTTTTTTTTCCCTAAGTCTGTATTGGAGACCCTAGCTAAAGCCAACCCTCTCCTTAACTTCTGACTGTTTCTAGTTGGTGAGCAAATCAGTTTATCAAAAGTCATGTCATCTTATTTAGGCATCTTTAAAGTCCTCTCCAGTACAATCCCGCCCGAAAGGGTACAACTTTTTTTTTTTTTTCCCTAAGTCTGTATTGGAGACCCTAGCTAAAGCCAACCCTCTCCTTAACTTCTGACTGTTTCTAGTTGGTGAGCAAATCAGTTTATCAAAAGTCATGACTTTAAAGTCCTCTCCAGTACAATCCTGCCCGAAAGAGGAAAGCCAAGGGGACTGAAAACAGTCATTATTCTTACACAGTCATTAAACATAAAGCTGTTGCCTTATATCTGAATTGTTCTGTTAATTTGTCTTTTGTCTCCCTCTTTCCTCCTAATTAATCAAATCTGGAGGCCTCAGTATGTGGCTGCCACCCACACATTCCTACAGGCAGTGTTAAGACTTCCGTTTCTCACTTAATATCAACCAGATGATGGTATTGTCATCACATGACACCCTTACATGGCAGCATTTGCGCGCACACAGTGTATGTTTGAGAGACAACTTCATACCAAAAACAGTTTCAAAGAATGAAGACAGATCAGGAAATACAAACTAGAAAGATTCAAACAGAATGAGAAAGCATTAAGAAGTTAAGAAGTCTTTCACTAACAAAAATAAGCAAGTGCTTTGAAAAGACTCTAAGCAATTATGAGGAGCTCTAGGAAATGAAAGTCTACTACGAAGATCAGCTCTTAGATCAAGGCTGCAAGTAATCTTTTCAGGATAAAACTGAAAAATATTAGCAGGGCAACAGCATGAGAAAAAGCATTCTTTTTTTGCTCCAGGATAGCATTTTCCCTTGTAGCCCTTAACAACTGAAGTCCCGTTGTTAAAGAACAATGAAGGAACTCTAAATCTTAGTTCTAAGCTAAGACAAGCATTCCACTGGAAGCTGAAAACAGAACTAAACAGGGAATTTTTGTCTGTATTTGTAGTAACTATTCAGTTTTGTTTCATTTCACTCGTACATGTTTATGGAGGGTCTTCCCCTTTGTAACCGTCTTGAATAGATTTCAATACTGCCAAAGCTAACTTGCAACTAGTGCTCTTCTGGGAGTAATTCATAGCATCGCTCTCCTCACTTATGATTAAAACAGCAAAACACAGGACTCACCAGGAGGTAAAGGCATGCACATGCCATTTGCAGCTTCCAGAATCCGACTCATGATGTGGAACACTGCAAACTCTCCTGCACTTCCTCTCTCATCGCTGTATTAACAAAGTAGCAACATATTAGGAACCTGAGATGTCCACACTCTCCAGGAGGTACCGTCAATTTGTTCCACTATATGTGCGCTAAACGCATGCATTTTGAGTGAATTGCCACGGGATGCATCTTGTTTACTTAGCACTAGCTGTTCAAAGTTGACACACAAAGTCTCTGCAGAGTCCCCTTTCTCCTTCCCCCAGTACTGCATATTTACAAGTCTCTCAGCAGTACCTGGTATCAACAGTAATAGGAGAAATATTTTGAGTGCTGGTATAAGTGACCTGGCTTTTATAGGGGTTTAACACCCACTACCCAGCTTAAGAACACTATGAACTCAGCAGCTTTGAACTCCAGCTGTAAAACTGCCTATATGACTGATATTCATGTTGGCTTAGAGCAGGCCAGCAGGATCATTAAAAAGAATACATGACAGTCATATTGACATTTACAGTAGAGTAAGCACTGACTATTCAAGCCAGTATTACTGATAAAGACCAAAATTACTACGCCCGTATCTTAAAAGGCAGGCTCAAAACTTTAACAAATGACTTGCTCACAAGCAGAAGATGCAGGAACGAAGCTGGTATCTCCTCCAAACTTCTTTCATTATTCGATGTACCAGATTCAGCTAGAACAAAAAAGAAAAGACTAAATGTTTGTGGGAGCCTGTGTGCAACAGGTCCTTGACCTTCATTCATTTCATACACCAATTTATGCAAAAAACTTCTCTCGTGAGACCCCTAAGACTTCAGTATTTATCTTTTTTTTCCTAGTCGCTTAAAATGTAAAATTGATTAAAATTTGTATTGTAACTGAATTGCCCTGTTCCACAAGTTCAGAGTAAGTGCTTCCAGCCCGTCAAAGCATTGTGCAAGACATACAGCATCTTAACACATCGTGGTTCTTGGGGATCAACTGCTCTCTCACTCTTGCATGAAACTCTCAAAGATCTATTTGCCATGAAAGTAAAAACTGCATGTCCAAGTCGCTGAGCATTTGGCAAGGAAAGGTCCTGATGGCCCAGACAAAACTGGATGATGCTGAAGACAGCAGAATACTCAGTTTGCTGAGAAAAGTCTGCAAGAGGAATCACAAATCTAGTCCCGGCAAGGAGGAAAGATGAGACAAGCAAATGCCTCTCCTCCTCTATCGAGTTTCCTTTTTGTCCATAGCAAAGTAAAACAATCCCTTGGCTCATATTGTTGCTTCTTTGTGCTCCCAGACTGACATCCAGTACAGGCTGTCAGCATACAAAAGCCACAAGCCCTCTTCTCACTTGGGCCTTCTAAGCTCTGCAGCTGAAAGAGAGAAACCACGCATGAAAGAGTTGAAATAACTTCCTCTAGCCAGCTCCTCACGGTTGTCACGTGTAACCACTTCCATATCTCAGTACAGAATTGAGACACTTCCTCTATGCCTTTTATCTCTGGGCCTCAAAGTGCAGTAATTAATCAATCCTTCCCAGGATACTCTCATGAAGCAAGTCTGACCCCTGTTTTGCAGAGAGGTGTCATGGGAAGTTAGAAACCCCTTTTCCCCTCCAAGATGGCCAGAATCCAGGAATCCTTTTCCTACTGTCTTTTCTCCCCATAGGCTCTACCCTCTCCAACCTCTAACTTGTCACAGGCTCTCAGCAAAAGAGAGACAGGAGACACAGAGATGTTCACAGGTGAAGGCCAGAACAGGAATATTGGTCTTCAGTAATGCTCCTGAGTGCTCTCCCCTGCACCTTGGCCAGAAAGCTCTACAAGGTAGTACCTTTTCCCTCCAGCACTCCATCCAGCCTTGCACAGCTACCTGATGCAGAATAACCACCTAATACGTTCAATTTTCATACTTTCTGGATGCATGGGAAAGCTCCAGTTTAATCTCTCTGGAGTATGGCAAGTTTTCTCCACTCGTTTTCCAGGAAATGAGTGATTTCCAGTTTTCAGAGAAGGGTCACAAGAACCGCACCTGCTGCCAGAATGACTTTCATCTCCGGCCAGCATACAGGGCACAGCTAAGGCCTCTGCATTGGAAGCTACAGCTGGATCTGAACATCAATGTTGAGCTGAAGCAATGTTTCACAAACTCCAAAATCACCTTTTATTATTTGTGCCACAAAAGTTGTTTTTGCAGGTATGATACTCCAGAATCAATATTCTTTGCGTAACAATACAACAAACTGTATGGCTTTTGCAGGGTATAGAAAGATAACAACTTCTTAAGTCATAGTCAACCTAGCTAACACAACATACCTAAATGTGAAATGCATGCTTGTGACGTGACACCCTCACCAACAGCACTACTCGCTTTGGAGATCAGCATCTACCATCTACAATGGACATTGTAGAAAACACAGAAAGAGAAGCCGTGTCTCAAACTTTTTTCAGTATATAACACACAGGATAACGTGCATGTGGGAAAGAAAACATTATCTGTTTTATAGAGGTCTCCAGGGGAACCAAGGTAAGAGCTAAACCCATACCTTCATGGCCAAGTCATTTAAGTCATTTTTCATTTAGTTTTTCTGGGCAAGTATCACAAGCCATTTCTCTTGGAGTGCTCTAAACTAATGAAACAACACATGATTAACAGCGAGACAGTGCATGCAGTAGGGCCTAGGCTGACATGTGCAAAGCACCTTGCTGTCTTCAAATATCTACATTCCAGGCAACTGTGCTGAGTAGACTGAAGTTCCACTAAAATGCTCAGCTCCTGTGGCTGTTTCTATGGGAAAGACATGAAAGTGGCCAAAGAAAAGAATCAGGAGCAAGGGAGAAAAGGGAGCGAGGGAAGGTCCTGCTGTGTTCCAGATCCCGTCCTGCACAGGGGGTACAAGGCAGTCCTCCTCCTTCTGAGGAAACTCAAATCCAAATGGTGTCTGTCTTCTATTCCTCTGCAATTGAGACCACATCAGACAACAGCTAGCCACAGACATCAGCAAAAAAGGTGCAGCCATTGCAGCGACTTTCAGAGAAATTCCAACAGTTTATTCAGGTCTGTGCCTCTCCTATGCCACAGGCTGTCTGTTCATTTTGCCTCCCCTTCCACTTGCTGTCAGGGCCGCAAATGTCATGCTGCTTCTGTAAGTTATTTCCCCCCTTTCCTGCCCCACTGAAATGAAGAGAGTGAGAGAAACAGGTAGAGAGTAAAGCTAAGATAAAGCAATTGCAGGGGAGAGAGAGAATACGGACATACAAACAACTACTGTGGGCTAGGTGGCATGTGGACTGGTAACCAGGCACACTCGGGCTCTGCAGACCTCCCCGGCAAACAAGGGAATTCCCACTGAGCCATTTCATTCACACTTCCCCACGTTACTTCTCTGTATACAAATACACACAGTTGTCTGACAGCAACCAGGCACTGGTCTGCTCTTTTATGAGAAACTGTCAATGTTCCCATGTCTTGGCTACTTCGACTTCAGCTGCAATTCATTTATACAGTGGCTACATACCACAGAGCCCTATTCTCAGCCACTCCTTTGCTCCTGAATGTAATAAAAAAAATATTTTATGAGCAAACAGACAAGTAGATAGTTTCAAGTCTCTTCCTGTTTCATTAGTTTCAGTAGCTCAGCTATATGCTGCCAATGCTACAGAAAACTGTTCTAAGAATCAAAACAATTCATTCCCCTGAAAAACTTCCACACACTTGGGATATATAAAGGTTTAAGATGTAAGAGTTTCTAATTAGGATGAGGGGAAACCCAAGCATAACAATGAAATAAAGATTACCAAACAGCACCTAAGATGCGCCAGCCAGAGGGCAGAAGCAATTTTTAGAGACATATTACCTTTGTTTATAGTAGCTTTTCTAAAAATG